TTGAGGAACAATATGCAAAGCTGTAGGACTACTATGAGAAGCTTAAGAGATGAGATAGACAAGTTGGGAGGTCGCAGGCTAATCAAACCTCCTGTGTACCACAAACAAGTTGGGAGGCCAACGAAATCTAGAGTGAGAGAGTTAGATGAGATCCTAAGATGTGCAACTCGATTGAAGAGGTATGTCATAATCAAACACTGTAGAAAATGTGGCTAAGAAGTTCACAATGATACTAATTGTTGTCGAGATGGGAAAGGTACTAGTAATAATGCACAAAGGGCAAGGCAAAAGAAGGTCGCAACCTACAAATAGCTAAGCTCCTAAGGCAAAAATAGCCAAGTTGCAAGCTCCCAAGCTACTACTAGCCAGTGAAAAGGGCAAAGCTACAAGTAAGTTATGTTCTTTTATAATCACATTCTCTTGATATGTTAATAAAATGACTGCTAAGCATGGTATGACATTATGTGATCATTTAATGCAGGTTGTTAGAGGAGGATTGAGAGGCAAAGGCACAAGTCAATTTAGAGGCAGAGGCATCACTACTCAAAATATTGGTGGAGGATTTAGAGGAGGACTTAGAGGCAAAGACAACTCAAAATTTTGTTGGGGGGAGAGAAACTACTCAAAATGCTTGTAGAGGGACATGAACTAATCAAAATACAGGATTTGGAGGGACATCATTGTTCATTTCAAAAAACAAACGACTAAAAACAACTAAAAGATTCATCAATTTCACATAATCAAACTCACCGATTCTCTAGCACAATCATAGAACCTCATTCCAGGGTTCAAATCGGTCCAAGATGTCCTTATTAGAGCATATTTTCCACATTTGTTGTATTTCCTCATTTGGTTAGCTTCACCGCATTTCCAACAAATTTCCTTAGTTTTTGACCCTAATGGATCTTTTTTGTTCTCTTAAAAGATGAGAAGGGAAGTGACGAGCTTATGATTTTGTCACTAAGAATCTGGGGCTCTGAAATTAGGGCCAAATGGAGGGAAGAAAAGGAGGGAAGTGACGAGCTTCGGACGTGAATTGACAAATTTAACCTTAAAATTGGGTCACGTGCCTATCATGTGCAAAATCTAACGGAAAAGTGGATGGCATCCTTAAGAATTTGACGGTAGGCCCTAAATTGGGTATTTTTTTTAAAATGTGTGTCCTAAATTTACCAAAAAAATTAGTTGCGCAGTAAATGGGCAATAGTAAAATAGTTCAAGAGGCAAAACTATAGAAAACCCAATAGAAAAATTTATTGTCGGTGTAAGGACAAGGGACTCTCATATCAAGATTAATAAAGTTACCGACAAACAAATATAAATAGAATAGCTTCAAAGTCTTTTAAGTTTTCCAACAGTATATAAATGTGAGTAAGCTTATCCTATTCTCCCTTCACTTTTATTCTCTATATTTGGTGCCATATTAGTTTGTTTGTTTATCTTTGAAAACTATTTTGTACCAATGATCGAATTCAATATCGAATATATATATACTAATAATTTTGTTGCTTTTATATGTCCAAATAAGCTTTACAAGGGACAAATATGGAGAATCGGAATGATAGAAGGGAGAAGAGGAGTTACTCGGTTATGAGAAAAGGATAAAATTATGTTGTTTGCAGCATATACGGAGAAGAAAAGTGAAAAGGAAAATATGTGAATGTGGCGCCACATTTTTAGCCTTTGGATGGGTCATAAATGACGTAGAATACGCAGAATAAAAATCAAGTATATCATAACTTAGAAAAATCAAACAAAGGATCGTGCTTAGAAATAACGTTAGTCTTAGTTATAAAGTGTTTTGAAGTCTTGAGAGTTTTTTTATGCTCTCTTTTCACATTAGAGGAGGTTCTCTTAATATTTGTATAGATAAATACAACTATACGACTATAATGGATGAATCTTGATCTTAGTATCATTAATAGTCATGAAGGATGCTACATAAATTTTAAACTTGTGATGCTAATTACAATGAGAGTGTTGTAGAAGTTTTTATTCGCTTTAATTACTAATTAAAGCATTACAAGCAAGATAGATCCTAAAGGACTATGTCTCAAATTCTATAATTTTTAAATTTGTACTATGAGTCTTAAGAAAATAAGGAAACAAATGATTAAATGAAAGAATTTATCGCTGATGATTATTTAGTCTAGTGACACCTAGCCTCTTCTTTTGTCGGAGGATATTAGAGTTGCTCAAACAAACATTCAAATCATAACACCCTTCACAGTGAGCATTCAAAATTGACTTGGCATCACACCACAAAACTCACCTTAATTGTAAGGATTATTTTGCCCTTGTTTTTTAATCTAAGACAATATAATATCAATTATATTATATAACTAAGGGAAAATAATAGAGAGGGTGAGAAGTAGAAAAAGGCAATGAATCAAAACTTGTGTCCTTATTCACCTTTGGTAACCACTATTTATGGTCTAAATAAATAGTAATAGAGTTGCTTAAAAAAGCATTCAAATCATAACACACGTTAGAGTGAACAGTCAAGTCTAACTTGGCATCACAAACCAACAATACAAAATCTACCTTCATTATCAGGATTAATATATGTTTTTCAATCTAAGACAATATAATATCAATCATATTATTTAACTATGGGCAAATAGTAGAGAGGGTGAGAAGTAGATGAAGATAATGAAATTTGCTATCAAAACTTATGTAGAAATTTTTTTGGATGCTCCCCCTGTTAGATTTAAAGAGACAGGACAGCTGCCCATTACTAACAACATCGATATTGTCCACAACTTAACCATCTACAAAGCCGGTGTTATTAGTAGTAGAACAATTCATTATATTTTATATTTTATTCAAGTTTCTTATGTGGGACTTATATTCTTCAATACGCTCCATCATGTGAGACCACCACATAGTAGGCCACACTTGGAGCCAAGTCCACATCGAAGTCAAACATTCAAGCCCAACATGTGAGCACCACGTATTGGATAAGAGTAAACATTCAAGCCCAACATGTGAACCCCACATGTTGGGTAAAGGATAAGAGTAAAGGCCCAATAATTCTGGCCAATCAATTAACCTGCTTTAATACCATGTTAAATTCAGATAGACGGGCCAGTATCCTACTACTAACAATACAGATATTGTCCCCAACTTAATCACCTACAAAGCCCAATAGGTGTGGGATTTTATCACAAAAGGTATCGGTATTATTAGTAGTAGAACCATTCATCATATTTTGTATTTTATTTAGTCAAATTTTTTATGTGGGATTCATATTCTTCAACCTCCCATAATGAGAGCACACTTCAATTATTTGATAACCACAACACAAAAGTCATTGATCATTGATATCACACATGCTTTCTGCACAATGCGCTTTGGTAATTCTTGTATAAAAATTGCTTCAATATCATCATTCAAAATATATGTTTGTCGTTATTCATTTGTATCCCTTTATGAGGATAAAAGCATTGAAATATTACATGGAATAATCAATCATTCATACAATGCCCTGTATTCTATAAAAGAAATTCATAGACTTTTCAAGGATCCTAAATATTCCTACGTACATAAGTTTGAAATGTTGCAACGATATTGAACTTGAATTCGTATTCAGAATTTAATCAAAGTACTCATTGAGAAAATTTTGATAACAATCATTTCAAGAAAATACCTCAATTGAAAGCTATGGAAATTCTTAGAGATTTTCTTTTAAGTAATTTTATATATTTTATGATACTTTACATCTCTTTGATTTGTTCTTATGTATTCCTTGATAAACCACTTACGGCAATATCCTTCAAACATTTCATAATTTTTAATTATTTTCATATAGATGTAAGTCTCCGTAAATATTGAAAGCTATGGATATAGATATTTTTATAGTCATCGGAGACACATTCCTGTTTAGAGGCTTTCATTGTTTTCTAATGAACTTTTTTGTCTCTGATCATCATCTCCTTTGAGATCAATTAAAATAGAGAGTGAATATTTCATAGCATTAATGGGGCCGTAAGGGCCTTTCAACCTAACCTACCGAATTTCTCAGGCCACCCAACTTCCCCAACCCATCATCCTTTCTCACAGCTTCAACGTAGCCTCCACCAACCCAACCCAACCCAACCCCACATAGCAACCTAGCCCACTAGATCGGACGTACTCCGCCCCATCCTTCGAAGAGAGAGATTTCCAATTGACAATTATATGGGCGGTGGTGGGTTGTGGCTTTTGTGACTGAGATTCCGCAAGACGACGGCAGCTCCCTTGGAGTTAATAGAACAGCCAGAGCCAGCACCAATGAAAAAAAGAAGAAAAAACCAGACAGCAACAGAAACTAAACAAAAAATGGAATCAAAATCCAATAGTTGATTTTAGAGTGGAAAATGGTCGAATACAGAGAGAGAGAGAGAGAGAGAGAGAGAGAGAGAGAGAGGGAGGTAATTTCGTTCTCTCATTAGATTAGTACATTCTAATAAGTTCCCCCAGACTGTTTGGATACATGGATTCAGATCCAATCTGGAACCTGACATAGAATGGCATATAAGAAAATAATAATTGTAAAAGATTAACCAAAGGACAAAATGATATACAAGATATGCACAGAAGTTTCAGGCAGCCATTTCCCAGATTGTTCTACTAAATATTTGCAGTGATGATGACTACAGGTTTCCACTTACATTATATTCACCCCAATTCCCAGATCCATTATTGGCAAAACCATATTACACAGATCTAATGAAAATTGTACATTTAAATAGTAAACACCGATATGCTAACATAATTAACACTAAACACAGCTGATTACAACCAATTCACACACCAATCCCGCTAGTCTTATTCCTTCCAACAATCACAAAATGAGCCATCTCTGACACCGGTGCAGTGAAACCACTTTGAAATGATTTGACCGTAACAAAAGCAAAGTAGTTGCAGCCTCACAATGTAGCTCCATATGTACAGATTTAAAACAAGAAGCACCTCAACAGGAAATGCCATGAAAGTTATTTTCCGTGGAACATTTAAGTTTAAGCATCAACAGCTTGTGAGACTGATTTTGTGGGATTTGAGTCCCCTCTTCCACTGGGTTTTGATCTAGTCTTGATGGGCTTCTGAGAACCAGGCGTCCCTTTGACATTAGATCTAATAGGATGTCTGGAAGTTTGGGAACCAAGACCTCCCCCTGATCAAACCAAATAAATAAACAAATAAATATTGAGCAGCATAATTACTGCTGGTTTCCTGAAAGATCGGAAATAGACATCATAGCGAATTGTTTGAATTACAATGCAGCATTTAAGACAAGTTACTTGGGGGATATGACAGCTCTAGGATGCTACCTGCTTATTCTACAAGCATATACACCTATCTGAAGGCATGCTCATTTTCAGAGAAAGAGGTCAAAACTCGACAGTAACTTCCGAAAGTTGTAATAAAGAAATGCCTGAATGCGTTCCTAATTCGCATAGAGGAGTTCAAGGCATCTTTCCAAGTAAAGAAATTTAGGTGGGAGAATGCCCACACACACATATATATATATATATAGAGAGAGAGAGAGAGAGACTCACCGCTGTTAGGCAGAGACAGCCGTTTCTTTGCTTGTTTATCTGATTCTGTGGATCTCTCTTTTGGATTACTATGGGATCTTGAAGTAATACCAGGTTTTGAATTTCCTTCTTCAACTGGATCTTCCAAATATGGCTTGGGCTTTGGCTTGCCCATTTGGGTAGTGGATGCTTCCAACAAGCCCGCTGACTTACTAGGTGAAGAATCACAGCCATCGGAAGTAAAGGGACCAACCTTTTGACTTGAAAGATTTGATTGAATATTTGAAGAAACGGGCCTCTTGCCAGCAGATTTTAACTGGGATATACCACCATTCTTACCCTCAGCGGATTCATTCTCATGCACCATTACTCCATCCCTAAGATTAATATCTAGAAAGCGGTTCTCCCAAGGACGGACAGCCATCCATCTTTCCAACCAGTTCCAACCCCAGCTGCTTTTATCTGGTTCGAACCCAGAGGGAACTGGCTGCTGTCTTGATCCAGCTTGCCACTACAGAAAACGAATATGTTATGTGTACGTCCATGGAGGTGAACGCTTCTAACAACTCATTATAGGACAACAAATAAAAGATTAATGCAGCCGACCTGGGACAATCCGTGTGTGCACGAGTGCTAAATTTCCATAAATAACAAGACAAAAGGCATCAATCACATCAAAATGTTTTTTAAAAATGTAAATTTTGCTCCTTCACCCTTAACAAAGGTCAATAGGAAAGTAGAGGTATGACCTCAATTTTTATGTTTCTGTATACAATTTTACAAAAATGGGTCATATTTTAATGACAAAGTGCTCTTTGCATGTTGGAGTACCCAGTACGTTTAGTATATGCTTTTTGAAAATCTTCTGACACAATTTTGTAAGTATCATTGATAAAGTGTCCGAGAAATCTTGTTCATAATTTTTTTTTTAAAAGAAACATAATATTATTAAAGTAGGAAAGCTAATTACAAAGAGTTGATAAGGAACACTATTACTTCTACCTGAAAACTTATCTGAAAAGAAATCTAAGCATCCAGGGCTGCAATGCCTATTAAGAGTGCATTTGATGGCTAATGTACACTTCAATTTAAGGGAATAAAAATAAGGCTTTAAAAATCCTCACATAAATGCCTCTGAGTTAGTTTTATAAAATTCAGTTGGGTGTGTATTCAGAGACTACAGAACGTGACAAGATTGTCAAATGACATTGAATTCTAAAAGTAACTGGCTCCGTATCAAACGAATTCTATTAATTGAACCTTCTGTTTGAAACCAAAGACCTTGCAAATGATGAATTCATTTAAACTGAACTGGATTCCTTTCTTCGGTTCCAAGCACAGTGATTACTATTTTATTTATCATAATAACGAATTACCATTTTTATAATAACAAGATACCATATTAAAACTCGGAATCCTAAACTGAAGCCACTATTTTCCCACCCCAGACTGTTATGTTTCTACATTGAAGTTCCTCCTCCTTCCATTTTTGTTTGTATTTGTATTTCATTTCCCTTCTAAATTTTGGTCAGTATCTCCTCTTTCTTTTCAATCTTCCTTTTATTGCAATTCACAATCAAATTCAGCAACAAAAGAAAAAAAATGCTGCTTCATAAAACTCAACCGAGCAGTTAACATGTGTCACCTGATGAGCAAGAGCATATGCCATGGCTCTCTCACGCTTAGCTGCAGCCTCCTGCCTCTTCAAGAGCTTGGCTTGAATTTCTTGAACAGATCCTACACTGTCACACCATCCTTCCTGCAACAGTTGGAATAAGTAGCCGTCAACAAGCCTACACAGATCTAGGATGCTAACCAGAAACAAGAATGGAAGAGGTTGATGGATGTACATCTACAAGAGCTTATATCAAGCATAATGGCATTTGATAAGCTAGGGCAGCGATATTGCAGAATTATCTAATATGCAAAATTATCTCCATCTTTTTTCTTTCTTCTTTTTTGTTTGAGAAGAGATATACTTTTATTGAACAGAAAGTATAAATTCATCACTCCAAGGAGTACACCACATACAACAAAAGGAAATATAGTAATACTACAAATCCAAAATGTCAAAAAATTTAACCAACTGCCTTCCTATCCCGAAGTATATCGGACAGACCCTGAAGTCAGTCGAAACAGATGCCCCACATAGAAAACAAAAACCTAACCCTACCTCATAATTCCCCAAGTTCAACATACAAAGCAGCCTCAAAAGATTATTGCCTTTTTCCGACTTCCATAAACCTTATGCACTTTGTTTAACAATGAGAAACAGCTCGGTGGAATTACCCAGCTGGATCTTGATTTGTGTACATTCTAATTCTCCATGTTTTAGTTGTACCATTCTTTACTTGAGATTAGATTATATACTGTCGAGTAATTATAACGCTGTCATCTCGATTTTCTCTTCTCTCCTTCTAATGCTGTCATCTAGATTTTCTCTTGTAATTCAAATGTTCTTAATTGTTGTCACTCTTCTATTTTCACCTTTTGATAATTTCTAATTGCTAAATACCATCCTACATATCCCACCCTCCTATATCTCATCCCTAATCCTTTCTCAACATTCATGCAACCCGAGTTGGTCCCAAAACCTGAAAGTAGGTTAATTAGAGGTTATATACTTCAAAGAAACCCTAGGTCCTAGGACAACACTGCCCTTGTCAGCACCCCGGGATGGGGTCCTACCATGGAAGACAGGTGTCAGGCCAAGATGGGGTGACACTATGGAAGGCAGGTGGGGAATTCCCAGATGGGCGATGCCATTCAAAGTTGAAAAGGAATCTAAAATAAGAAAATTAGGTTAGGTTTAGAATTTTCAAAATTGTGGTAGGATGGGAAAAAGGAGGTAGGTGGTTGAGTAGGGTTGAAAATCAGGGTGAGGATAGTGCTAGTCAAGGAAACAACAAAAGAGAGAGAGAGAGAGAGGAGAGAGAGAGAGAGAGAGAGAGAGAGAGAGAGAGAGAGAGAGAGATGCTATTCTACATGGGATGATTAAATTAAGATGCATTTTTTAATGGCAGCCTAAATGCCTTGAGATTTCTCTAATCACCACCCAGCTTCTTTTGCATTTATTTTCCGACACCTAGCTCTTTTGCAATGTTCTCAGTGTTTCAGGGGGTGGAAAGGAAAGTTCGAAAAATCTGGGTGCTATGAAGGAATTTGGCTCCCACATGGGGGTTTCATATTTTCCTATCAAATTAAAAATCAGAAATTTAGAGAAAGCATATAAGTAAAGATACCAGCTGAACATGGTATATTGTGTATGTAATTAAAGCAGATAAAGGTACTAATACTTGCTTCTATTTCTCGAACATGAGCCTCATTTGCAAGTTGTTGCTGAAGTCTTTGTTGAACCGTTTGACTTTCCAATGCAATGCGAACACGCCTTGCTCGCACTCGAGCCTGAACTCTAACTAAAGCTTGCATACAGCGAAGAGTTATTGCAGCTTGTTTTCTCACAGCATGGCCTCTGACTAGGGCTTGAAGTCTTACCAATCCTTTTAAAGCTCGAAGAGCTCTTCTAGCCTGACATAAATCACCAAAATATTATAATCTGATCACAGTTTAAAAATTTAAAAAGGAATCAATTACTCAAACTATATGGCAGGCATAAAATGCGGCTACTGTCAGCAAAACACAAACTTCATGAAGATGTACTATATTCCAGGCAGACCGCAGAACAGAAAGATAATTAGAAACTATTTAGGTAATGTTATTAATATTATGCTAAAGAAACAAAATACATCAGGAGATGGACAAGCAATTCCACCTAGGACAAGCCAATACAAAGTATAAACACAACTAGCAACCAGCATTCCATGCAAAACTCACGCCCAACCGACATGAGTAACACTATAAGGAAAGCCCTAAAAGGTTTAGACAACAACACCCTAAGAGAAGCAAGAAATCTAATTCTATCCCTAATAAAATACATCTCCTTTACATTTCCTGTTACTCAAACAAGTTGTTCATCATCATTTGCCTCTATCTACTATGGAGAGTGTAATGATATTAATAAAAAATACTTATTCAAATTATTCCTTACAAATTATTGTCTTATTCATTCCATCCCTACCTGCTATGATATTTACAACAGTTATTTTACCATTCACTGCCTCCTGTGATTATTCTTCATGCAATCCAAAAGATCTTACTTAATAATAAATTTTCCCTGCATGCATTACTGATTTTAATTCACTCCAATCATAGTGAGACTGTGAGAGGTGGCATTGATTGTTTCTCAGTTTATAAGCCTTTCTTGCTAAAAGGTAAATGATTTTTTAAGGCAATAAGATGATGAAAAGTATTAAACATAGCTAAAATTTGAGAGATGAAAAAGACACACAAAAGAGAGGTATCCCAAAGAGGTTTGGGAACTTTTTCCCTTTCTTTCGACAGCATATACGAAAGAGGTTCTGTATAATTCAATAATAAGTGAAAAAAGAGAGCATAAAGGAAAGATGTTGCTTGATTATCATGAGCGTATATCTTACATAAAAATTTATTTGCCACTTTCATCTGATAGAGGATAAAGATTCCAGACAATCTTTTTTTTCTTTTTTTCTTTTTTAAATTTATGTTTTTCTTTTAATTAGCTACGGGATTCACAATAAGCAGATGCTCCCTTAATCTCAAAATATATTTCTTGCTTCTCGCTTCCCTCTTCTATCTGTCATATGGGACCCCTAATGTAGCATGTGATTGCAGAAACTATATAACAGATGTGGAAATTTCGAATTTTATCACTCGACCAATAACATGTTATGCAATTCCAAGTTCTTTTGTCTCTTGTCCATAAACGTGTGCATGCATGCAGACAAAATCCTCAAAACCCTCATTATCTATGTTAAATTAATATTTACTGCTACATAATAATTAGAAGAATCTTAAATCCAGTATCACAATAACTTAAAAGCTTGAATGTCAAAGTTGCAGCATAGAGACATCTAGAAAGAGGAATCTGAATATATATCCATTTGAAAAGGCCAATACTTGATCAAGTAACCAATACAACATTATGCTTTGCTGACTAAGTGAAAATATGATGAGAAAATTTAATACCAGAAACCCACGAAAGGCTGTTTGGATGCGTGTGGCAGCCCATTGTTCTCTCACATTCCGCTCACTTTGTACATCATGTACTTGAAGTGAACCAGAAGGTGAACCCACAGTATCTATGTTTAATTGAGTACTGGAAACTCCAACTGGTGGAGGAGCATCTGCATCAAACTCACATTGAATTCTAGAGTCAATCTCAATGGAATTCTTTCTTCTGTGCCGAAACTTGTTACCAGCTGTTCTCTGCAAGGATTGGAAAAAAAAAGAAATAAGTCAGACAGGCTGATCCTTTTAACTACATGGAATATTACCATATTCAACTTTCCTTAGAGTTTCTCAAGTTGTTCATAGGATAGGCCAATTGGAGTCTGGAGGTTACATGACATTTGTTTTTTTAACAAACATATTGTACATTGATAAGTACTTTTTTTTTTTGGGGGTTGCAATGGAGCAGAAGACCAACCAGCAAAAACTAAACAACCAACCTGGGCCTAGCAAGGTCTTTCTTATCCTCATCTAAACTACCCATCAAACATTCAAAAGTAGCAACTATGTGACATGATAAGTTGCTTTTCGCATAGGACTGTTCTAAAGAGCTTAAGGTATTAATATGTGGACTACTGTTATATTCTAACACTTCTCCTTCAGTGTATGCTTCTCCCCACCACTAGAGAGCCTAACATGTGGAATTCAACATAAACTGAGAGGTTGTAGTTGGAGAAATTTGAACTCAAGATCTGCTGCTATGATACCATAATTTATTGGTTTACCAATGTACTAAAAGCTCAAACTATTAGGTTGTTATGGAACTACTGCTTTGTATTCTAACATATGAGATACACACACACCAAAGAATTTAACAGCTTCACTGCATCACTAGTGTAAACTATATAGTCTGACCAAGAAATGTACTTTTTCCACAATGGGAAAAATCTTTTCACCATCCCTAAAAAGTTTGTGCTCATTATAAAGATATGTTCACAATTCCTACATAATAAACGAGTTAAAGCTATAATCTCTAAACACCGGAATAAAAAATTCTACATTTGCGAGAGCAATTAGCAGCAAGTTTCACCACTTAGTTTTATTTGTGCACAAACTCTAACTACACAACTCCAACAGAGCCTATAACTAGTAACAAAAAGAGAAACTGTGATGAAACCAAAATAATAACCTCTACCTCCCCTGTTCCCTACATTTTGCTTTTGTCATGGACAGACTCAAACTACATAACCCCAAAGAGCCTGTAACTAGTAACAGAAAGCCTTGAACTTGATAGATCCAAATAAAAAGCCTCAATACCTTCCCATCCTTCTCCTGCTGAACCACACCCCCCAAGATATGGGGAAAAAAAAGATGGTTTTACAAAACTGGACTTTACTTAGGGTGGATGACACACATCCTATATTGCCATACTCTCAAGCTTTTTACTTACACAAGATCTACCCAAGAAACCCAGCTATCTCCAAGCATGTGAGAGTGGCTCTAGACAACATAAGAAAAAATTCTGTACTATTTTCATATGAGTAACTAAGATGCATACACTAAATTAAATTCTCAAACACAAATCAAATAACCATGGAGCACATATGTTTGGATAATGTGAGAATATTCCAGAAGATTTCAAATAAGATTAAGAAAAAAGTGATTGATTCTTTATCCAACCTTGCAAGACACCAGATAAACAACTATAAATAAGAAGCGTAAGATGTCTAAGACTAGTATTGGAATGATAAGGTACCCACATTTTCATCTCTCTCTGAAGACTGTGACTTTTCTGATTTCTTTAAGCCAACCAATGCCTTAATCCATTTTCCAGAGACACCCATGGCGCAGTCACTTTAGCTCAACCAAATATACACCTGCTAGGGGAAAGTTTTAACGAACTAAGTTGAAAGTACACATATAATAAGTTATTATTGACTAAAATATTACTTAGCAGCCAACAAGTAAAAACAGGAAGAAAAATAAAATTGACCCGAAGGATTCAAATCTAAAATTGCACAAAGTCAAGAGACAACAAATGCTCCATCCCCCGGCCTCTCACCTATCAGTACTGACCTCCAACCAAGGAACTACTGCTACCATAGAACAGTCACTTCAGTAAACATGAATATACCAGGAACACCAACCAAAAACTCCAGGCAACCTTCTCATGTCGTTGACACTTCAAAAGATCAAATATCTATATAAAAAAAATTATTAAAAATTGATAGAAACTTCAAACCAATGCAGAACCAGGTGACCACACATATGACACGAATCAAAGTGGACAACAAGAACTATTTTTATCATCGGTCCATAAACATAAAAGGTTCTGAAAATGGAAGTTAAGCCCAACTATGGCGATGTGAAATATCCTTAGACCCATATGCAAGCAATATTACACTATAGAAAATGATAATGGAACTTAACACAGTTACATCACATATACAGATCCTGTAACTTCTACAGCCAAGAGTCCAAGACTAAATGTACTTGTTAACAAAATTCACAATTTCTGAACCAAATTGCTTAACTATTACTTCCTCCATGAATTATATAGGAACAGTAAAAAAACTTCAGAGAATTCAATTAAAACGCCAAGAAGCTCAAAAACGCGCACGATATCACAGATAGCCAACCATTTTCATCAAACTAACATCTTTACTGCAAACCAATTGATAGTTCAACGCCCCAACTGCATAAAACCTTAACAACCCAAATTGGGATCAACCAAAGCCATTTTGAAGACCTACTAAGCACCCCACTAAAACCCAAGTTCAGTCCCTCAATTTCTAAGGACCCAAATTCCAACTTTTCTAACAAATTTGAACAAAACCCTCGAAACAAAAACAAAAAATCCCAAAAAAGGAACAAAGCTTGAAATGTAGTACTGATAAAAGAACAAAAACTTACAAAGAATTGTGCAATTAAACCATGCAGATCCACCTATCACGAGCTTAAGAAGCCCAATTCACCTGCAAGGCGGAAACTTCAACACACACAAGTAGAGAGAGACCAGTAAAGAAAGAGTAAGCTGTTTGAATAATGGGAGAAAAGTGGAAAACACCTTTGATCTATCAATGGGTCAAATGAGTCAAAACTTCTCTTTTTGGAGTATTTTTCACCAAAATTCAGCTTTTGGAGCAACAGTTTTTATTTTGCTTCATTCAAAAGCTCTCCAGTTTGTGAGCCAAATGTGATAAAAAAAGGGCCGGCATGGAGTGAGGACCAGTCTAGGCTAATGTGCACCGGGAGGTTATTAGAACCTCTTCTGGCATACGGCGTCGTATTAGTTAGTGAAGGAAGGGTCGTGTCCTTGTCGCGCATGAGGCCACAGAGTGACGGAGTCAATCACGGGACGAATGCAACCCCCACCCCTACCGAATCTATTGATTGGTTGAGCCCACGTTTACCGGCTTTTTGCCCGTGCGCACGTTAGCATTCACCTCGCCTCAGGTGAAAAAGCAATCCATTATGATTAAATTCTGTTTTTCTTTTAATACAAACGGTAGTCTAAATTATAACAGAATGAGGAAATTTTAAAAAGTACAAAGGTTTTCATAAATGAAGAAAATTAGTGTTCTAGAATTTGTTAAGTTTCTTGTTTGGATGACAGATTTAAAACACGGAATTTAACATTTATTTGTAAAGTTATCTTTTTTTAAAATTCAATCTCTCTTGAGATTTTAGAAATAACGACTTTTAGATAGAATTTAAGGGGGGTGTATTCAATTGAGATTTTAAAATACTATTTAGGGATAAAAAAAGTCTTGCAGATTTAAGCATAATATAATTACTTATAGGATTTTTTTAATGGATTTCTATAATCAAGATTTTTTACTTATGGATTTTAAAGATTTCTATTACAATATTTATAAGATTTGAAAGGACTACATAAATTTCTTCTGGGTCGACATAAAAATTGTTTAGGAAAAATAGACCTTTAAAATGAAACGCTAATATTATTTCTATCTCTTCACCATCCCGGCACCCACAAGCCAACCTTCACTCTCGGCAGCCAAACCTCTCAAAGCCACCACACACTCTCTCATTTGTGTATTGTGGTCTATGGAGTTGCATTCCACTTTCGCATGGATTTTGCAAGTAAACTATTTATCAGTACATCACATCGATCAATGCCAACAATTTCAATGCTTTTGGTTCTCACCTCTGTCAAAATCATTTATTTGTATCAAAATCTATTTTTGTTGTTGATAAACAATGAAATTTCATTGAAACTCAAATAGGGATACAGTCTTGAAACAAAATATCATGAATCAAAATAGGGGGTTCCTCGAACCAAACATAATCTCGACATATGTCAAAGCATATCTTGCAAGTTTGTGGGCTACTTCATTACAGCTCCTTGACACATTGTCAATTGAAGCCTTCTGAAAACTAGAAAGGAGCTCTCTAGAATCCTTATAAAGCTTGCCCGAGACAGCTCCATTTGAGTCACTTTTGTTAATAGCAAGTACAATTGTGAGAGAGTCACTTTCAAACTGAACCCACAGAAGACTCAGGTCTCTAGCCAATTGCATTACTCATGACACCCAGCCTTTGAATGCCAACCTCTTCCACAACAAGAATTCTATTAACGATTTTCTAGTAACTAATCTAAACAGAAGCTGCGCCCTTTGGGGGCTTGTGTCGAACAGATGGTGGGCAATTTTTGCCCAACCATCGAGCTTTGTCACAGATGTGTAGAGGTCCACATGTTAAAAGCTTATACCCCAACAGCAGGTAGCTCTAGTTTTGAAGGTGGTTCGTTCTTCATGTGAGGAAAGGTGAGGAAAGAACATTACTTATACCTAGTGGTCGTTATTAGTGGTTTGGTCGCCATGGTTTATACCCAGTGCACAACTGCTTGGGTGGAGGTCAAGGTGAGGAAAGAATTTTTTTAAAAAAATATGACATGAAAAGTCTGATAGGTTAGGGTGGGATTTCGGATAGGGCTTGTTATTTATACCTCCAACTAAAAAATCTCACAAAATCTCATATTTTAAAAAATCCTTCGAAATAAGCAAGGTTTTGAATATCATAAGATTTTTTGTTACTTGTTTAAAGTCTTGATTGAATACCACTAGATTGAATATCATACGTGGTCTGGCAGTAAAAATCGTCTATGACCTAAGTAACATGTTTTAGACCCATGAGATAACCGATGATGCGAAGTATCAGATGCACAATATGGGCATCCATTTTGCCAGACGTACTCCAACTTGACATGTATGCATATGTTGGATAATCATTGATAGTCCAATGAAGTGCAGCTCTCATCTAAAAATTTTGCTTTGCATATGTATCATACGTTTCAACACCAATTTCC